GGTTTCTATTCTGTTGATGGAATTTCATATATAAGTATTAAATCTAATTTGTAGCACTGTTTCAGCTTTTAACCGATTTCCGATAACTGAAAGCCAATAACTTGAGTACTGTTTAAGTTAGGTGGACGTAATTTCAATTTGTATGCACATGTTTCTCTCAAAGTGGTATTTTACAATATTACTATAACTCTAGTACTGTTTCAGTTATATAGAAGCATGTTTATACATAATTATAAAATCTTATTCTTTAATTACATTCAATTTTTTGAGTGACTTCCGATAACCGGAAATGTTACTTACATCTATTTCTGGTTTCTAAAATACAGATATGTTGCGTACTGTTTCGTTTAATTGAACACAATTGTAAACATAGAGATAAGGTACTAATTCTCTTGATTCTCTCAAAGTTTGAGTGATTACGAGGTAACAGAAATATTACGTTACGCTGTTTCCGATATCTGAAAAGAGATTACCTCTATTGGACCCATTTCTTCAAAACTTTTCACATAGGTCTAGACTCAATGACATTTCATGAGACGTAAACTTTGTCTGAATGTTTATAAATACACACACATACACATACAAACCCACAATTGTGTAAAGATGGTGAAAGGAAGAAGATATATAACTGATAGAATAAAGGTTGCCGTTTAAGGTTGGATCAACGAAATTTAAATTTACATACCTACGTTAGATCAAAGACCCCCCCCTCCCCCCTTCGAAAACTCTCGAAGGAACTTGTTTTCCCTAACTTCAATTACCAAACGTTTCTTTCTGGTAACCAGACATCTTGATGGCTGTAACTGCATCTATTTTAATAAGTAGAAAGACGAAGATAAAAAAAAAGAAAGAAAAGAAAAGAGAGAAAAAAAAACAACCAGAAACAGCATTTGTAGAGCTTCGTAATTACCTCCCCTCTGATCAGGGATAATAAAAAAAATGTATTTAAAAACGTCCAACTTTGCCGAAAACAACATAGAAAAAAAAAAGAAAATTATCAGATACATTGGAAACCTTCAGCGGGAGAGGCAAATAATGAAATTTAACCATCCGCATGCCGGTTTCCTGTTAGGAGATAATGAAAGTAGATTATTCCGTTCTTCTCTTTTCCGGTTCTCCAGTTTCAATAGATCGTAATGTTTTCTTTTATTAAAGATGCGTTCAGACAATCGGTTTGTTTCGCTTCTTGATTTTGTTCAACAATTAGAGAAAATGGGTGCTTTCAAGCAGAAATTTTGTGTCAACGTTTTGTGTATAAAGTATTTATTATTTGTTTTTGAAGCTATTTTAGTGAAGCGGAAATATTGTTTTGTAGAAACAGGAGAGGTAATCAGGTTTATTAAACACATAAGGTAAACAACCGCGTGAACTTTTGGTATTTGACAAGGATTTTAAATCCAGTCTACTGAAAACATAAAAGCGAGTATTATTATTAAAAAGAGAAATAATTTCAGTGGGATTCTTAATTATCGTGTTAATATTTTTGAAACGATAATATGGCAATTAACAAAACAAGGATCAAAGCCGACAGGATTTTGTTGTGTTAAGATTGTATTTTAATCTTAAAAATAAGATTTTAAAATGTTATCCTCATATACAGTTTTTAAAAAAAAACGTTTTTCTTTCGCTTTTTGTAAGTTTTACATCATAGGTATAGGACAGGGGTCGGCAAGCTATTGAGACTGAAGAGCCAAAAGTTACAATTTACAAAATGTAACAATTTTTAAAGAGCCACTAACGTTTGTATTTCAATACTTGGTATTTGATTAGAGTTATATATATATATATATATATATATATATATATATATATATATATATATATATATATATATATATATATATATATATATATTAAAAATTAAAAAAAATAGTTTTAAATATGAAATATTTATTCACATAAGAAATACACATGTTTTACACAAAACATAATAAAGTATCTTAGCTACCTCTGCTAAAATAACAAAATTATTAATCAAATAGTAAAACTATAATCATTGAATATTAGTTACATCAACTGGTTTTTAAATCCAACAATTCCACTTGAAGCGAACTAGCATCAATTCCGAATGGCTCAATGTTGATCCCATTTGTTTTTGTGTTAAGACGATCTACTATGAACGTCAGAGTACTTGCATTTCTTTTGAATTGCTCAAATCTTTCAGTGAACTCATCCTTTATTTTGTTTATAGTAATGCTGAAGTGATTTATGTTAATAGAAGCGTTGGTTTTATCACGATATTTTGTTTTTAAATCGAAATTATTTAATCTACCGCTCTCCATGTCTTCAATAAAAACAAGTTATTTTTTTTTAAAAGTCCACTTCTTCCAGCAAGGCATAGGCTGAGTTTTCTTTTCCTTGCAGCATTACATTTAGATCTACCTCTTTTAGTTTCTTATTGATATCCACCATGACGTTGAATTTTTCAATTTAGGGAGGAAACTTTAATAGGAAGTTCAATGAAATAGGGAGTAACTAAATATTCTAATCGAATAGCGAGTGATTATTGTTTATATTTATTATTATATCGTTCATTGTCGAATGTTGCAGAATAATATTTTTTGTTGAGTTTGGAAAAAAAAAAATTTGCGAATGGAATTCGAGAGCCGCATCATGACATCAAAAGAACCGCATGCGGCTCGCGAGCCGCAGGTTGCCGACCCCTGGTCTAGAGAAATCTTATTGTTGTGTATTCATTAAGCGAAATTTAATTTCTCTACGATAGTCTTCTTTATGGCATGGAATGTGATATTCTTTTTTTTTAGATAAGGGAACCTGCAGCATTGTTACGATAATAATTTTTCAATTAGATTTTAGATTGTCTCCTGTTTTTGAGGGACTAGGTCAGGGGTCGGCAACCTGCGGCTCGCGAGCCGCATGCGGCTCTTTTGATATCAAGATGCGGCTCTCCAGCTCTTTGAACAAATACTAATAATCTTAATAAAAATATAAGATATTTGAAATAAAAAAAAATGTTAGTGGCTCTTTAAAACCAGGGAAATTTTGAAAATTGTAACTTCTGGCTCTTCTGCTTCAAAAGGTTGCCGACCCCTGGACTAGGTGACAGAACTCAGGGACAGAGCTGGGTGTTTTTAGTTTGTCCCTTGTTTCTAAGGGATCCAAAATTTGATTTGTGTATCGGTTTTCTACATACACAAGTTCCAATAGATTTTTTTTTAATATATAGATTATTGAATATAAAAATAAAAAGTTTAACAGGTTTATGTACTTTCAAATATTAAATTACTGTTTTAAGAAAGTCAAAATATTATGCAAAGTTCTAGTAAAATATAAAGTGCTGCATTTTCTGTTTGTAAGAATAATATGATTTAGATAATTTGCTAGTTCTCTTTTAGATACGTTTTATGATTTGGATTCCGATTGAGTTGTTTCCCTTGATAATTAAAAACTTGTTAGTATGGTAGATTACTCACTGCTTTAACCAAGAAACGTTACGTTGAATTTCTAATTTCTACACTGGTCTTGTTAGTTTTAACAAAATCATTTCTGCCATGAAGCGTTTCAAATGTCCAATGATTTTGCTCTTACAGTTCGATAGTATAAAATGAGAAAAAAATAACTGATAATATAAAATACAAAAAAAAAAGACTTTCAATAGTCAGTTGGAATTTAATATTTTTAAACTAAAATTCTTTCAAAATAATAAGTTGGACTACACATTTTTTCTTCAACATTTTTTTCTGCATCAGATATAATTGGTTACACGCTTCTGTAGGATGTCGATGTAGCTTGTCGTGGGCTCATTCTAGTCTGGTATCTTTGCTGTGTATCCCCACTGTATCCCCACTGTATCCCTACTGTATCCCCACTGAAACCCCACTGTATCCCCACTGTATCCCCACTGTATCCCCACTGTATCCCCACTGTATCCCCACTGTATCCCTACTGTATCCCCACTGTATCCCCACTGTATCCCCACTGTATCCCCACTGTATCCCCACTGTATCCCTACTGTATCCCCACTGTATCCCCACTTTATCCCCACTGTATCCCCACTGTATCCCCACCTTATCCCCGCACCCCACTGAATCCCCACACCCCACTGTATCCCCACATCCCACTGTATTCCCACTGTATCCCCACTGTATCCCCGCACCCCACTGTATCCCCACTGTATTCCCACTGTATCCCCGCACCCCACTGTATCCCCACTGTATCCCCGCACCCCACTGTATCCCCACTGTATTCCCACACCCCACTGTATCCCCACTGTATCTCCACTGTATCCCCACTGTATCTCCACTGTATCCCCACTGTATCCCCACTGTATTCCCACTGTATCCCCGCACCCCACTGTATCCCCACTGTATCCCCGCACCCCACTGTATCCCCGCAACCCACTGTATCCCCACTGTATTCCCACTGTATCCCCGCACCCCACTGTATCCCCACTGTATTCCCGCACCCCACTGTATCCCCACTGTATTCCCACACCCCACTGTATCCCCACTGTATCTCCACTGTATCCCCACTGTATCCCCACTGTATTCCCACTGTATCCCCGCACCCCACTGAATCCCCACTGTATCCCCACTGTATCCCCACTGTATCCCCACACCCCACTGAATCCCCACATCCCACTGTATCCCCACACCCCACTGAATCCCCACTGTATCTCCACTGTATCCCCACTGTATCCCCACACCCCACTGAATCCCCACTGTATCTCCACTGTATCCCCACTGTATCCCCACACCCCACTGAATCCCCACATCCCACTGTATCCCCACACCCCACTGAATCCCCACTGTATCCCCACTGTATCCCCACTGTATCCCCACTGTATCCCCACTGTATCCCCACTGTATCCCCACTGTATCCCCACGGTATCCCCACTGTATCCCGCACCCCACTGTATCCCCACTGTATCCCCACTGTATCCCCACTGTATCCCCACACCCCACTGAATCCCCACTGTATTCCCACACCCCAGTGAATCCCCACACCCCACTGAATCCCCACTGTATCCCCACACCCCAATGAATCCCCACACCCCACTGAATCCCCACATCCCACTGTATCCCCACACCCCACTGAATCCCCACACCCCACTGAATCCCCACACCCACTGTATCCCCACATCCCACTGTATCCCCGCACCCCACTGAATCCCCACTGTATTCCCACACCCCAGTGCATCCCCACTGTATCCCCACTGTATCTCCACTGTATCCCCACTGTATCCCCACTGTATCCCCACTGTATCCCCACTGTATCCCCAATGTATCCCCACTGTATCCCCGCACCCCACTGTTTCCCCACTGTATCCCCAATGTATCCCCACTGTATCCCCACTGTATCCCCACTGTATCCCCACTGTATCCCCACTGTATCCCCAATGTATCCCCAATGTATCCCCACTGTATCCCCGCACCCCACTGTATCCCCACTGTATCCCCAATGTATCCCCACTGTATCCCCGCACCCCACTGTATCTCCACTGTATCCCCACTGTATCCCCACTGTATCCCCAATGTATCCCCACTGTATCCCCGCACCCCACTGTATCTCCACTGTATCCCCACTGTATCCCGCACCCCACTGTATCCCCACTGTATCCCCACTGTATCCCCACACCCCACTGAATCCCCACATCCCACTGTATCCCCACACCCCACTGAATCCCCACACCCCACTGAATCCCCACACCCACTGTATCCCCACATCCCACTGTATCCCCGCACCCCACTGAATCCCCACTGTATTCCCACACCCCAGTGAATCCCCACTGTATCCCCACTGTATCTCCACTGTATCCCCACTGTATCCCCACTGTATTCCCACTGTATCCCCGCAACCCACTGAATCCCCACTGTATCCCCACTGTATCCCCACTGTATTCCCACACCCCACTGAATCCCCACATCCCACTGTATGCCCACTGAATCCCCACACCCCACTGTATCCCCACTGTATCCCCACACCCCACTGTATCCCCACACCCCACTGAATCCCCACACCCCACTAAATCCCCACACCCCACTGAATCCCCACATCCCACTGTATCCCCACATCCCACTGTATCCCCACACCCCACTGTATCCCCACACCCCACTGTATCCCCTGTAACCCACTGTACCCCAACATTGTTGGGGACCTTTGTTTACACTTGGGAAACTCATGTACGGCCCATTCAATATTTAAAAATCTTCTGTACTTCCCTACTGTATCCCCACTGAAACCCCACTGTATCCCCCACTGTATCCCCACTGTATCCCCACCTTATCCCCACACCCCACTGAATCCCCACACCCCACTGTATCCCCACATCCCACTGTATTCCCACTGTATCCCCACTGTATCCCCGCACCCCACTGTATCCCCACACCCCACTGAATCCCCACACCCCACTGGATCCCCACACCCCACTGTATCCCCGCACCCCACTGTATCCCCACTGTCTTCCCACACCCCAGTGAATCCCCACTGTATCCCCACTGTATCCCCACTGTATACCCACACCCCACTGAATCCCCACACCCCACTGTAGCCCCACATCCCACTGTATTCCCACTGTATCTCACTGTATCCCACTGTATCCCCACTGTATCCCCACACCCCACTGTATCCCCACACCCCACTGAATCCCCACATCCCACTGTATTACCACACCCCACTGTATCCCCACACCCCACTGTATCCCCACACCCCACTGTATCCCCACACCCCACTGAATCCCCACATCCCACTGTATTAACACACCCCACTGTATCCCCACACCCCACTGAATCCCCACACCCCAATGAATCCCCACACCCCAATGAATCCCCACATCCCACTGTATCCCCACACCCCACTGAATCCCCACACCCCACTGAATCCCCACACCCCACTGTATCCCCACACCCCACTGTATCCCCACACCCCACTGTATCCCCACACCCCACTGAATCCCCACACCCCACTGAATCCCCACACCCCACTGAATCCCCACATCCCACTGTATCCCCACATCCCACTGTATCCCCACACCCCACTGTATCCCCACACCCCACTGTATCCCCTGTAACCCACTGTACCCTAACATTGTTGGGGACCTTTGTTTACACTTGGGAAACTCATGTACGGCCCATTCAATATTTAAAAATCTTCTGTACTTCCCTACTGTATCCCCACTGAAACCCCACTGTATCCCCACTGTATCCCCACTGTATCCCCACTGTATCCCCACCTTATCCCCACACCCCACTGAATCCCCACACCCCACTGTATCCCACATCCCACTGTATCCCCACACCCCACTGTATCCCCACACCCCAATGAATCCCCACATCCCACTGTATCCCCACACCCCACTGAATCCCCACACCCCACTGAATCCCCACACCCCACTGTATCCCCACACCCCACTGTATCCCCACACCCCACTGTATCCCCACACCCCACTGAATCCCCACACCCCACTGAATCCCCACACCCCACTGAATCCCCACATCCCACTGTATCCCCACATCCCACTGTATCCCCACACCCCACTGTATCCCCACACCCCACTGTATCCCCTGTAACCCACTGTACCCTAACATTGTTGGGGACCTTTGTTTACACTTGGGAAACTCATGTACGGCCCATTCAATATTTAAAAATCTTCTGCGTTATATTTAAACACGATTTAAAACCCACTTGATTGTGTGGTTTTTTTATACCTTTTAAAATTTGACGTATTTGTTTTTTTTTTTTAATATTGGTAACTAAACTAAATTTAAAAAAAGGTCAATCCTCTGGTAAACGAACTCGTTATCCTTAGTGAATAGGAAACACTTTGTAAAGATATTTAGCGGTTGATTAGTGTTTAATTTTTAACAATATCGCGATGCATTTCTTTAAGAAACCGCAATCTTTTTTTTTTTTTTTTTTTTTTTTGTAAAAAAAATTAGTTTTTGAAGGGAGATCTTCTCTAGTATTGGATGCCGATCTCCAATCAGATATTCACTTCTGAAAAAAATATAATTTTTACTTTCAAATCTACTTGGGTTTTAGAAAATAATTTGCAACACAGATTTAGGACAAAGGTTTGAACTTGCACCAAAACGTACTTAATTCAATAAAGATACAGATACAAGTTCTACATTTTACGTCCATATTTCTAAACCGCCACATTAAAATTTTAAATCTGTGAGCTATAAATAAAATCCGTTTTTTGCCCACGATCAATATAAAATTATTTTCCTAGAGGTGCCCGTCTAAAAACACCAAAAGCGGTATGAGTTTAATGGCGTCATTGCATACGTTCATATCGATTGCTTGTTGGTTTCGTTAGAAGAATCTTCATATATATATATATATATATATATATATATATATATATATATATATATATATATATATATATATATATATATATATATATATATATATATATATATATATATATATATATATATATATACAGTGGCGTAGCGAGGTCGGGTGTCACCCGGTGCGGCACTTAATGGTGTCACACCCCCCCCCCCCCCCGATGCGTTGCGACCCTTCCCGGGGACAAACTTTCAAGTTTTCGATTAGCACCCCACCCCCTCAAACTTTCGATTTGCACCCCCCCCCCCTCAAATTTTCGATTTGCACCCCCCACCCCCTCAAAGTTTCGATTTGCAACCCCCTCAATTTTTTCTCTATATATTTTGCCATTTTTTGCCTTGGTGTCCCCCCCCCCCCCCCTAAATGGTGTCACCCGGTGCGTTCCGCACCCCCCGCCCCCCACTCGCTACGCCCCTGTATATATATATATATATATATATATATATATATATATATATATATATATATATATATATATATATATATATATATATATATATATATATATATATATATATATACAGAGAGAGAGAGAGAGAGATTTACTCCATGAAACACAACTGTAGCTAGCCAAAATTGTTGTTAATATGAATTCAAATTAAAACTTCATAAATATTGCAACTTGGCTCTCTGAAGTAAACACACAGTTCTATACTGTGTGTATAATTCAATGTTAGGTAGTGTTGAAGCTGAAATATCTTATTTTCTGAGTACAATATAAACAATGAGATTGGTCACGTGCCAAAACTGGCCAATCATTGAACAGTTTTTGGCAGGAAGTCTCGCAAAGTAATTCTATTTTCTGACCCCTAAGATATCTAAATAGAACCCTCTAGGGTTGTTTGGTGGTGCATCAGAAATCAACCTATTGATGGGAATAATTTTAATATTTGTTACAAATATCCAGTGTTTTGATGTTGTGTTACGTTGTATGTGGTTAGTAATGATCGTTATACGTTGGTTAAACTAGAGTTATTAGCGGCAAGGTTAGGCTTTGTTATTTATAGATGCAATGTTGGGCTAATCTATTATTGGCTGCAGTCATGGCCGGCGCTACCTATAAGGCGAACTAGGCGGCCGCCTAGGGCGCCATCCCTAGGGGGGGGGGGCGCATAATGTTTAATCGCTATTATCAAAAAAGTACCTAATAATTAATAATTTTTATAAAAGAGTAGCGATCTATTTCGGTACACAGGACGAACTATCAATTTTGCACCCCGACCCTAAAATTAGGTCTATAGAGGCCTATATTTATTCGCGATGTTGAAAATGCAACCCTATATCCTTAATTTCAAAAGGTCGGGGTGCTTTTTACTAGTCACTTTGCTTTTTCAATGTGTTCTCACATATTGATGTAGAAAACGATTAATAAGTTCGTAATTTAAATTTCGAACATTTCAAAAGGTTATCTAATTTTAATAGGGCTTGTAAGTCTCGTTTTCTCAGACTTTGAATTAGAAATCTGTCCTGGTGTATAGAGTTTTGTAATGACAGGGTGTTCAAAGTATTGTACTTGTCTGGTAAGTTTTGATGAATCGTTTAGATTTGAGAATAACGGCGAAAGGCTGTTGCTGATATTGTTTCGTAGCAGGGGCGTAGCGAGGGGGGTGCGGGGGGTGCGGACCGCACCGGGTGACACCATTTAGGGGGGTGACACCAAGGCAAAATATAGCAAAATATATAGAGAAAAATGATAATTCCACTTAGGAGAGTGATTAATTAGAGTGTTAAATAGTCTTTTAAGAGGTTGGGGGTGCAAATCGAAAGTTTGAGGGGGGGGGTGCAAATCGAAGGTTTGAGGGGGGGGGGGTGCAAATCGAAAGTTTGAGGGGGGGGGGGGGGTGTAAATCGAAAATTGAAAGTTTGTCCCCGGGAAAGGTTGTTGCGCCTCTGGGGGGGGTGACACCATTAAGTGCCGCACCGGGTGACACCCGACCTCGCTACGCCACTGTTTCGTAGGTATACAGTATCGACGTGTTAAAGTGTTGTAATTTTTATTCGGCTGTTTTGTAGTTGAAGGTCTAATATATATAAAACGCAATGTGTGTATGTGTGTCTGTGTGTCTGTTCATCTTTTATGCATTACTACACCTCTCATCACATCGCCGTGAAACTTTGGGAAGTTGTTGAGAATATTCCTGGGGAGGTTTCTGTGAAAAAAAAAATTTCAAATTCGAAGGGGTGGCGCCCCGACAGGGTGCAATTTGTTTTTTCTCTATATACAGTATATTATAATAAAAGTCAATTTTGATTAGACAGCGTTCATCCGATAGCCACCAAACTTTGGTGTGTTCTTTAGAACACTCTGGGTAAGAGTGCTGTAAAAAAATCATTTTTAATTTCGCAAGGGCGGCGCCACGGGAGGTTGCGATTTTTCACAATATAGTGTATATAAAAATAAAAGTTGATGTTGGTTTGACACCATTCATCAGATCGCCACCTATACTTCGGTGAGTTAATTAGAACACTCTGGGGTAGGGTTCTGTAAAAAAAAATCATTTATAATTTCGTAAGGGCAGCGCCACGGGAGGGTGCGATTTTTCTCTATGTACGGTATATAACAATAGAAGTAGATTTCGTTTTGACACCGTTCATCCGATAGCAATGAGACTTTGGGGAGGTGATTAGAACACTACCTGGAAGGGTTCTGCAAAAAAATTTTTTTTTTATTTCGCAAGGGCGGCGCCACGGGAGGGTGCGATTCTTCATTATATACAGTGTATAAAAATCAACGTGTATTGCGGTTTCACGGCGTTCATCCGATTGTCATCAAACTTTGGAGAGTTGATTAGAACACTCCAGGAAAGGGTTCTGAAAAAAATATTTTTTAATTTCGCAAGGGCGGCGCCTCGGGTAAGGTGCGATTTTTCTCTACATGTGGTATATAAAAAATAAAAGTGAATTGCAGTGACACTGGTCACACGATCGCCATGAAACTTTGGGAAGTTGCTGAGAATATTTCTGGGAAAGCTTTTGCGGGGAAAAAAAATTCAAATTCGCAGGATGGCGCCCAGTAGGGCGTGATTTTTTTCTCTATATACGGTATATAAAAATAAAAGTCGATTGCCGTTTGATATTGTTCATCCGATTGCTATCGAAAGTTGGGGATTTAATTAAAACATTTTAGGTGAGGTTTCTGTAAACAAATCTTTTAATTTTGCAAGGGCGGCGCCAAGGGATGGAGGGATTTTTCTCTATATACAATTTATAAAAATAAAAGACGATTGCGGTACGACAGTTTATCCGGGTGCCATAAACTTTAGCGAGTTGATGAGTACTCCCGAGAAATTTTCTGGGGTAGGAGGGGGGTGGAGGTGAGTGGGGGGAGGGGTGATTTAATTTTGCATGGGCGGCCCCCCGGCAGGATGCGATTTGGCGCCCTGGTCTTTCCCATGAGCGCTATGGCGACTACTTTCTGTCAAAACAGTGCGATAGTCAATGGATAGGATGGGACGTTACAAACGCTCACTAAATAGAATCAGCCGTGTCCGCCGGCGCCCAGGTAGGGTGCGATTTGGC